CATCTGGAAGATCGATGACGTTGGGTGGAGCTGCAAGGCAGATCATTCAACCCCAAGTGAACCACTAGAATGCAATCGACCAAGGAATCAAGAACAAAATCACAAGAGTTTATACCTGGGTTGGAGGTTACCGCATCTTCCATCTCCTCGTCCCGGTACTGGAGAGAAGAGGTTCCTGATGTAGCAGCACTGCAAAGACCCACATTCAATCGGTTACGTCCGGTTAATCGAGTCGACGAAAAGGACAAGTCAGATGATTACCCGGAGATAGTAGGGATGGTCACTTTGATCCTGAGCAAAGCTTTTGGCAGTTTGGAGGAGGTGGCTTTCGGCGCTGGAGGCGGCACAACTTTGGACTGCTTTGGAGCCTTCTCAGTCGGCGTTGGGGAAGACGTCCTGGGACGCTTCAAAGACTGTCTAATTGGCGCGGCCACCAAGTCCGGAGTGCTCGTCGGGTCGTGAGCGTGTTTGGATCTCCTCTCCCTGCGAGGAGGCGAGTCGACTTCTTCGTCATCAATCGATTCTTCGCTCTCCTCGTCCTCCTCGGCATCCAAGTGCCCCTCGACGCTCTCACCCCCGCTCGCTTCTTCCTCGACGTCTTGCTCCTGCACTCCATTGGGCATTGAGTACATGTCGATGAGGGCCTGAAAAGACAACGATCAAAGGAAATTCAGTCGACCATAAACAAGATGTCACACGGTGAATCGGAAAGATACTTGATAAAACAGAATTATACCTGCTCCGGCTGGTGCGAGTTGTCGAATGGAATCACCCTCCTAGACCCTCGAGGGTTGTCTTTGTTGCTGGTGATCCCCATCAACCACTTCTCCAAGGTATCCTCGCTGACATCCTCCGGGTGGATCCGAGTGGAATCCTCGAGCCCAGAGTACATCCACATCGGATGATCACGCGCCTGAAGCGGTTGGATGCGTCGACCGAGAAAGACCTCCAGCAGGTCCATCCCGGTCACCCCGTCACGGACGAGTTGGACGACCCACTCGACCAGCACCTTGACCTGCGCCTTCTCTTTTGGAACTACCTTCAGGGGGGCGGACTTCTCCACTCGAGCCAAGGAAAAGGGAGGAAGTCCAGTCGACTAACCCGGGGTCGGCTGATCCTTGCAGTAGAACCAAGTCGACTGCCAGCCCCGGACCGAGTCGGGAAGGATCATGGCTGGGAAGGTACTCTTGCTCCTCATCTGGATCCCCAGACCCCCGCACATCTGGATCATTTGTGTCCTCTCGGCACTCGGATTGGCCTTTTTGACCGACTGGGAGCGGCAGGTGAAGATGTGTTTGAAAAGACCCCAGTGCGGTCAACAGCCCAAGAAATTTTCACACATCGACACGAAAGCAACCAGATAGACTATGGTGTTTGGAGTGAAATGGTGCAGTTGAGCCCCAAAGAAGTTCAAAAAACCCCGAAAGAAAGGATGGGGAGGCAGTGAGAATCCGTGATCTACGTGCGTGGCAAGGAGAACACACTCACCCTCCCTTGGTTGCGGCTCGGTTTCGTTCGACGGGAGCCGTGCCGACTTGTGGGGGATTAGTCCCCCCTCCACCAGGTCGTTGAGGTCGTCCTGGGTGATTGTCGAGCGGATCCAGTCGCCCTGGATCCAGCCCGGCGGTAGGCCGGACCTCGACGAGGATCCGCCCCGGCTAGTCCGCTTGCCCTTCGCCTTCGCAGTCGCCTTCTTCGCGCGCTCCAGCGCCACCATCTTCTCTTTCCCCATGGCGACGGGTCGAGCGAGAGCAAGAGTCCGGCGACGAGAGCGGAAGCGAGCGTGGCGGAGAGATCGGGAGAAGAAGAAGAGAGAATGGGAGCGCACGGGGCAAATGCCTGGTCCGGGGCCTTTTATAAGGTCGTCCCCCGAGTGACTGACTGGTGGACCCAGACGATCTAAACAAATCCTGCAACAGTCGCGCGCGCAGTACGTGGCGAAAAAGGTGGCGCGGGGATCAAGGAGACTTGCCTAATCCGTCCCGATAACCTCAGTTCCGTCCGTATGGCGCACTTCCTAAAATTCGAATCCCGCGAAATTAGCGGAGAGCAGAGCAACCTGTCAGACTGAAGACAAACATCCTCTACATTATCATTCAGAATTCTACCGTGAAAATTCACTCGACAAAAACCAAGAATGGACCAAGGCGACTGAGAAAGGAGTCGACGTTGTCACCTCAACTCAGTGTTCCAGAACAAGATATACTCTAGCACAAAGAATGGGTCGGAAGTGTTCCCAACTCCTTCCTCACTCAAACCCTGATCCATTCGGGGGCTAATGATGAAGCTATGTACCTAGGGTAGGGTCATTGATCTGTCCAACATACCCTCCCCAAGGACATCTCTACAAAGAATCAGAAGTAGTCGAAGAGAAACCATCATCCACTTGACCATGAAGATGTGCTCACTCGACCACCTTGAAGACACTCGACCACCAGAAGATAAGAAACCCTCCACTCTGCAATGGTCAGGACTTAAACCATAGCTTTATGGGCATTTACAACACTTTACTGCAGACGTTACCAGTAACGCCCCTCCTTTATGAGCATTGAACCTTGTGTAACGGAGGGGAGCTGGGGTCCTGGCGTACTCTATATAAGCCAGCCCCCTCTTATGGGACAGGGGTTCGCACTTTCTGTAATTCACACATATATATTCAGTCGACCGCCTCCGGGCTCCGAGACGTAGGGCTGTTACTTCCTCTGAGAAGGGCATGAACTCGTAAAACTCGTGTGTACAACTCCTCCATAGCTAGGATCTTGCCTCTACATTCCTACCCCCCTATTCTACTGTTAGTCTTAGAACCATGACAGCCCCTGCTGGGCGGTCCTTGTAATAATGATACTTCCTAGCTAGCTCGTTTACTGCTTTTTCCTTTTTGAACTGCTCTCTAAGAGCTGCTATATCAGACTGGGTTGGTTTCGTGGTTTCATTCTAAGCAATGGAACCGGGGAGGTGCTCCATGTTCTTCTAAAAAAATGCTTTCAAGTCAAGCTCACCAATCACCGTGATGCCTACATAACATAAAATACGCACAAACAATAATTGCATCCATTGAATTACACGGTGACTCTTTAGAACTAGATGATACCCCGCGTGTTGTCGTGGGAATCGGTTGCGAACTAGCAATATATCTCAATTAATATTTGATTCTATGGAATATAAATATTTTGATAAATAACACGTGGACCAAAGTTAAAAACACATACAACTTATTATATTTATATTTGATTATGTATAGTTATAAAATATTTATTGATATAAATAGAATAAAAATAATATTTTCTAATGCACGGTTACATGTGGTGGTGGGTCTTTTCTCATGCATGGTTGCATGTTGAGATGTGCATTTATCTCATCCATAATTGTATGGTGATGTGGCATACTTGCATGTTGAGATAAATACATTAGTGATTATGACTCTCTTAGGTATTAACAGATAAATAAAATTATTAAATTAAATACTCTAATTACCAACTTCCCTTTTTGGAGTCATACTCCCTCCTTTCCGGTTTATCTCAAAATTTTAGTTTTTTTTTTCATTTTATAAGGCTCAATTTGGTTGTTCACCATCACAAGTTCAGATTTCAAGGTGCATTAAATAATTGCATACAAGTATGAAGAGAAAATTGACTAATGCATGTATATTATGCATGCATGCATTGCAATTAATACATTAGTAAACATAAAATTTTGAGGAAAACAAGAGCATTAACTGGGTGCTTTTGTAAATTACAAAAAATATTCCACCACTCATCAGCTACCTTGGTTGATGAGATTTTTGAATTGAGCCCTATAAACTGAAAAAGAGTGAGTAGTTAATTACTAACTCGAGTTAGTCAACTGCAAAAATGGACAAACCATTGGCTGGTTGACGGGCCCAAGAGCACCGCCCGGTTTCCAACATTTGGCCCACCCGAAGCAGACAACACCACCGACCAAACCCTACAAATCTCCCCACCACCGCCGCCACTCGGTCACACACACACACCTCAGTCCTCGCTCGCCTCTCCACCGAAACCCTAGCCGGGCTCCTCGTGCTCTCCTCCCGCCGTCGCCAGCCATGGACGCGGAGCAGCTCCTAGCGTACATCTACACCTGCCTCCCGGAGCCGCCAGTCTCCGACACCGCTCGTCTCGCCGCCCGCCGTGCCGCCCCCTACCACGGCGTCGACCGCATCAGCGGCCTCTCCGACGCGCTCCTCCAGGACATCGTCTCCCGCCTCCCCTTCAAGGACGCCGCGCGCACCGCCGTGCTCGCCACGCGCTGGCGTCGGGTCTGGCTCTCGGCTCCGCTCGTCGTCGTCGACACCCACCTCCTGGACCACTGGCCCCCGACTCGCGCCGACGCGCCGGCCGTCACCGCCGCGGTGTCGCACGCCCTCGCCGCGCATCCCGGGCCCTTCCGCTGCGTCCACCTCGTCTCCAGCCACATGGACGGGTACCCGGCCCAGCTCAAGCGCTGGCTCCGTCTCCTCGCCGCCAAGGGAGTCCAGGAGCTCGTCCTCGTCAACCGCTCCTGCCCGCGCCAGGTGCCTCTCCCCGGCACGCTCTTCCGCATCGCCACCCTCACCCGCCTCTACGTCGGCGTCTGGAAGTTCCCAGACGTATCCTGCCTCGGCGACGCCTCCTTCCCCAACCTTCGCGAGCTTGGCATCTTCAGTGTCGCCATGGAGAACGGGGACATCGAAGCCATCGTCTCCAGGAGCCCTGTTCTGGAGATCCTCAACATTCAAGGGAGCGTGAAGGGGTTGGGTCTCCACCTCATCAGCCAGAGCCTCTGGTGTGTGCAGATCTGCGATTCTGTGATAGAGAACATTGTCGTGGTGGACACGGGACACCCAGCGTCTGGAGCGGCTCATCCTGTACAAGGTCCGGGGATCTCTCAACCCTGCCAGTGTTCTGCGGACCGGGATCAAGATTGGCAATGCCCCCAAGCTGGAAATGTTCGGGTACCTGTAGCCAGGAAAGTACGTGCTTCAGGCCGGAGACACCATCATCATGGTACATGAGCATCACCTACGTACCTAAAATTTCCCATTTGTTCTATGGGCTACAATGTCTGATCTTTCTTTGTTGAATTGGGTGCATTCCATTCTAGCCTGGGATGAAGCCAAGCGCCAGCACTATGTTTACAAGCGTGACTATCCTGAGCCTGAATGTGCGTTTTGGAGTCCACGATGATGCCAATATGGTGGCCACGTTTCTAAAATGCTTTCCCAACGCATCGAGTCTGCATATCAGGGTACTGATCTTCATCACCACCTACTAGCATCATACATCTTTACACTTTTGTTGCTGATACATTGCATAGTCCATAAGTAATTGAACTGTTTAATGGTTTAATCAATTTGCAGTGTGAACAATGTGATGAATCCACTGGGAAGTTCGAACATAAGTTCTGGGAGGAGGTTGGTCCCATCGTGAGTGTCATGTTGCGCATAGGGGTGATGACTATCCGTGAATTCAGAGGGGAGGAAGGCGAGATGGCTTTCCTCAAGTACTTCTTCACAAACGCGAGGGCGCTGAAGTATGTGGCGATCATCTTCCCCAATCCAAGCTTCTCTTCAATTTCAAAGAACTATGCATGCTCCAAAGCAAACTATCTGACTTCTCTGAATTGGGCCACTCAAGGCTGCGGATTCATGGTGTATGGGAGTACAGATCCTGAAGGAGGCAGACCATGGTGCTTCAAGACCGGAGCAATTTTTTCGCGTGACCCTTTCTCGTGGTGAAGTCGAAAGCTCCAACATATCTCATCGTCCAAAGTTTAATGTATGTGGGAGTGTTTAGTGTTAATCTTTTGCAACATGGTACAAGCTAGGTATCGTTATTGTTCGCGTTTATGATGATGTCGCGGTATTCTTGGTTCTAGCATGATCGGCTTGAAGTGTTGAGTAGCTAGTGCGCAACTGTTGATAAGAAATCAGTGCTCGCTATGCATGTGTTTTGTTCAAGTAGATGAATGTTGCCTTAGCATCTGCTGGGTTTATCTTGGTGGTGATGGATGCCTGATAAGGCAAAGTAAGAGATGAATGGTGCAAACTAACCTCATTGCCTGATAGCTGATAGTGATGGTTGCCTGATAATCTCGCTGGCTTATGCACTGGGGATGAACTAATGCATGCATGTGGTTGTCTACTGGTTGATAGCAGTGTTACGATTATGCAGATCGACCGCATGCGTGCAGGGTATGCCAGATAGATCATCTCCATGCGTATATACGCCAAAAAGCTATTTTTATTTTCACCCCGATGGTGACCCTTTTTTGATAAAGGTGCTTTTTATTGACTCAAAATGAGTGCACATCCCACCTCTGCATAGATAAGATGTACACAATCAACACTAATGTACACACACATAAACACACCGCCGAAATCAAAGTTATGTAAGACCAAAACTATGCAGATGCAAGTAAAATGGGAAAAAAAATATGAAGCGATCAAAACAGCCCACGACAACGATCACATCTGCACCAACCATCTTTTTACAACATAGGTCTATACAACGAAAATGTTCTTCAACAACAACGTCTTCATGAAGGGAACAACACTCAAGCGCCACCATCATCGCATCCAATCACCAAATGCCGAAATCTAGTTTTTCACACAGAAGAACAAGTCCAAGTATATCCGAGCGATGCATCAACAAGGTAACGATGCAAAAGTAATGCCAGATAAAACCAACTCAGTTCTTACCTAGGGTTTTCACCTTGAAGATTCAGATTGGGTACTCGAGAATCACCATCCAATTTACGTCAATCAAGTCTTATCAGCCACCACTTTATGTGATCCCAACAGCTACATGCGTTGGACTAGAAATCACAATGTTGTCGTTGCACAACCATACCCTCTGTGTCAAGCCGCCGTCCATAGATTGTGTCTCACCGTCATAGGCGAACTGGCCAGAGTGAGAGCCACCAGAATCCACAAAGGAGCCTTTTGGTTGCATCCGCAACCATGCAGTACAAGCCGCTAGCAGCAACCACCTGTTCCGGAGCGAGGAACCCTCATGAAGACTTTCCAGTGTCCACTGTGACCTGCATATTCAGGGTCAGCCGGTGCCGCCACATAGTTACAACTCCAACCCTGACAAGCAGCCTGTAACGCCCTCGATGCGGCTATATCTCTCACGTGTCGAAGCACGACTTAGAGGCATAACCGCATTGAAAGCAATGTCGCAAGTGAGGTAATCTTCACAACAACCCATGTAATATAATAAAGGGAAAAGGATACATAGTTGGCTTACACTCGCCACGTCAAACAAATATCATAAATAGCATTACATTCATCCAAATACACTCAAGGTCCGACTACGGAACCAAAATGAAGATAAACCCCAAATGCAACATAGTCCCCGATCGCCCCAACTGGGCACCACTACTGATCATCTGGGAAAGACATGTAGTAACGACGAGAGTCTTCATCGAACTCCCACTTGAGCTCGGTCATATCATCTGGAGCGGTATCATCGGTCCCTGCATCTGGTTTTGGAAGTAATCTGTGAGTCACGGGGACTCAGCAATCTCACACCCTCGCGATCAAGACTATTTAAGCTTATAGGTAAGGCAAAGATATGAGGTGGAGCTGCAGCAAGCGACTAGCATATATGGTGGCTAACATACGTAAATGAGAGCAAGAAGAGAAGGCAAAAGCACGGTCGAACAACTATGATCAAGAAGTGATCCTAGAACAACCTACGTCAATCATTAATCCAACACCGTGTTCACTTCCCGGACTCCGCCGAGAAGAGACCATCACGGTTACACACGCGATTGGTGCATTTTAATTAAGTTAAGTTTCAGGTTATCTACAACCGGACATTAACAAATTCCCATCTGCCCATAACTGCGGGCACGACTTTCGAAAGTTCAAATCCCTGCAGGGGAGTCCCAACTTAGCCCATCACAAGCTCTCACGGTCAATGAAGGATGTTCCTTCTCCCAAGACAATTCGATCAGACTCGGCATCCCGGTTACAAGACATCTCGACAATGGTACAACAAGTCCAGCAACACCGCCCGAATGTGCCGACAAATCACGATAGGAACTGCACATATCTCGTTCTCAGGGCACACTCAGATGAGACTAGCTACGAGTAAAACCAACCCTCAAGTTTCCCCGAGGTGGCCCCGCAGGCAGCTTAGTTTGCACCAACACTCAGAGGAGCACTGGCCCGGGGGGTTTAAATAAAGATGACCCTTGGGCTCCGGAAACCCAAGGGAAAAAGAGGCTAGGTGGCGAATGGTAAAACCAAGGTTGGGCATTGTTGGAGGAGTTTTATTCAAGGCGAACTGTCAAGGGGTTCCCATTATAACCCAACCGTGCAAGGAACGCAAAATCCGGGAACATAACACCGATATGACGGAAACTAGGGCGGCAAGAGTGGAACAAAACACCAGGCATAAGGCCGAGCCTTCCACCCTTTACCAAGTATGTCGTGGTTTTGTCACGACAGATGTCCTAGAGAAAGGACTTAGTCGTGGAGCCATCGCGACGGGTTAGCTTGAAGGGGTTAAAGCGGACACAGGGACGCAAGAGAGTTTATACTAGTTCGGCCCCTTCGATGAAGGTAAAAGCCTACGTCTAGTTGTGATGGAATTGATAGGGTTTCGATGACTAGGGAGCAAACAAGCTTCGCCTATGTCTCGAGTTGTTGTCTGTTGTCCTTGAACCGCCGTCGGGTCGTCCCCTTATATACACGGGTGACTCCCGTCGGTTCACAGAGTCCCGACACCGGTCGATATTCGTATCCGTGTTAGTCTCTCCTTATTCCTAACTTACAATACAAGTTTATATACAAATTCCGGTTTACAGCTACCAGTCTTGAACCGGCTACGGGCCTTAGGCCCTCATCTGCCTTCTTGGGCTTTATCACTTTTGGAGCTACTAATGAAGTTGACCCGGCCCAGATAGGCTAGTTTACGCCCAGCAGTAATATCCCCAACATTAGGCCCCAGATTGATTTGAACGGGTTCATGTCAATCCTTTAACAAAAACTTCATCTTCAACGTCTTCTCTTAAGTTGGTAAACCGCCATGATGTCATCTTCTCTGATTACTGCAAACTGGAGTGACTTCATCTGTCATAATGAAGCTATCCATTACGCTTCTTTGTTTAATAGATCGGCGGAAATCGAGGCGACAGCTCCGTTTCGTGGCCCCTTGATTGTCGCGCCTGACTCATGTTCTTTCGCCTTATAAATAGGACCGAAGGGTCATTTCTTTTCTCCTTCCGTTCCTTCTTCATCTTCCTCGCGTCGCCCGCCTCGGAGCTCCGCCGCCGCCGTCGACCTCTGCCTCATCTTTGGCCGCTGCATCAACCTGAACGCACCAGAGCATCGCGGCAACCTTCCGCATCTTCCTCAGCTTCGGTAAATCTTCTATCATTTCCCCCGCAGATCTGACCTAGGGTTTCGCAGTTCTTCAGTGTTCATCTTCTACCTCTTGCTCATGCGATAGGTCTTTAGCTGAATCCGCAAATCTTTACTCTGTGCAATGGTAGTTGTTTGACCTTCGCCTTCACTTATGCATCTCAAAACCATAGATCTATATGAACGTTTTGCTCATTGGTTCGGTACTGCTCCTTTGAACCTCTAAGTATTTATCTCTTTTCTGAATTTGCTTCAGATCCAATGCCATAAGGAAATCTTGTGAAACCTGTTTCTGCGTACTTGTCCATCCGCAATGCCTAGATCAGGCGGTTTAACCTTGTAGAAAATTTTTCCAAACCAGTATATGCCATTAGTCCCCTTATTGAACCGCCAGATGCTTCCATTCTTGCTGATTCTCCTAGCCCCCAAGGGTCGGTTTGTAATATTCTTTCAAACCGGGACTTACCAATATAAATCTTGATGCTTTGAAATTCGCTGATGTAGCCCCCAAGGGCCGGTTCAACTTAACGTAGTTAAACCGGTACTTCAAGTAATTGAAATTGCCGCATCAGAATATATACGAGCAAATAGCCATTAGCCCCCAAGTGCCAAGTTGAATACTTGTATTGATCTTGGGACTTTGTAAGCAATTGAAAGATGAAGATCGAATATGCATTAGCCCCCAAGTACTAAGTGCATAACTTGTTATGTGATTGGTACTTGAATCCTTATACCGAGTTGTTGAAGCATATATCTATATGCATGCAGGCGGAGCTGAAGACGAAAGAAAACCAAGTCATCGATCTCCAAGAAAACCTGAAAACCCAACAGGCTAAAACCTCCAAAGCAAAAGAGGAATTGGCCAGCGCTTTAAGCGCCATGGAACAGCTTAAGGAGAGCTTCAAGAAGAAGCGGACGGATTGGGCCACTGAAAAGTCCGCTTTGATCAAACGAGCAGAGGATGCCGAGGCTGCACTAAAACCAGTGGCGGATGAATTGACCAGCATAAAGCGGCACGTGCATGCCATGACTACTGCTATCTTTGGTAAGCCACTTTGCCTTATGAATTGGCTCTGCCTCCTTACAGAGTCACCGGTTTATTAACCCTTTATGGTATTTCAGGGACACGCATTGGTCACTTGGGGTCAGATGTGCGGAAGAAATTGAAAGCCGCCTATACATTGGTTGAACAATTGTATACTGGTGCCCAACGGATCATCTGTACCGCATCTCATAACAAACCGGCGCCCACTTTGATTCAAGATACTCTGATGAAACTGTCGGTGCTTCCTGCCCGGGTTGAAGAGCTGAAGAAATCTGCTGCTCGAACCGGTGCAATCAATGCCTTAATCCAGGCAAAAGCA